CCTCCTACAGTAGGGGACAATCTGGACCACGCCAAAAGCACCGTGCAATGCAGCACAAACACCAGCCCAACTGAATTCGGGCTGCAAAGGGCAGCAGCATCAGCATAGGGACATTTGCTTCTTGGCAGCCCCTGGAAAGAACATTCTGAGTGTGCAACCTCACCCTTCCTTTCATTCCCTCATTTTCGGTTCATGCGAGCTCTAAGATTTGCGCAACGCAAGGCCAGGCGTTGCCCTTGGAATTGCATGCGTTGGGAGGGTAACAAGAATTGCTTGTTTGCATGCGATGTGGATTGAATGTGGAAGGGACCTCGGTTGTCTTGTGCGGGCTTGAAGGATTGCCCCGAAATCCTTTTCGAGCTCGCAGCGTGTTGCCCTTCGAGGTTCTTCACTTGACTCCAAACCGGTGAACTCACCTTTTTCGTGCTGGTGCCAAAGTGCCTTGATCGACTGACTGGAATGTCCTTCACTACTTGAGTTAGCTTGACTCCAAACTTCCACGCATTCTTCATCCGAGGGGTTTGTCAAAAAAAGGCCTCGTTTGGGGACTTGGTGAATGCGGGTCGGGACCCAAGAGGGGTCACGGTGTCAGCCGGAGTTTCAGACTTTCCATCAGAGGCCTTCTGCTGTTTAGTGGGTCTGCTTGTTTCTGCTTGGCCAGCCTGACTGATTGCATCACTCAACGAAAGCGGGCAACCAGGAGGATTAGCAGGAAAGCTTGCAGTTGTATATAGTTTCTTGGTTTACCCCCAGCAGTGGATCAAGCTGCAGAGGGGAAAGAACGGTGGACACCTCGTCAACGCTCACGCGACTTCTTGGGGCGTCTCTTCCTTGCCGCCCCTTCTTGCGAGCTTGGGATGCCGAGAGGAATCCTACGCTTGGGAATACATTTCTCCAAGGTACCCAGGCAAACATGGAAATCAGCATCTCCCCTTTAAGAGTTTCCCCATCCACCCAGGAAACCCACTTCAAACCAGCCCCACGGCGATATTCAAAACTGCCAGAGGGGGGGCGTAGGTTCATGTGACAATATATTGAAATCGCTACGCGATCCGCCGACGCCAGTGGGGTGCAAGGGATTTTAAGACCTTTTTTCTTTTTTTCAGGGAAGTCTTGCTTGTTGGCACCAGATGATAGAAGGTCTGAATTTGCTAGTTTACAGACATTCCCCTACAAAAAATGCTGGAAATGCAAGGGCAACAAATTGACCAAACACAGAACATACCAGAGATGCCGGGAATGCTGGGAATGCAGCCGGCTGGCCACAAAAAAGTTTAAAAAACTAAAAAATAAAAAATGTGATTTTTTGAGATTTCCCAAAATCAACAATGAAAGCCGGTACTAGCAACCCCCCTCAAATACCCTAGAATTAGACTTCCAAAAACACGATAATGCCGGGGATGTTTCGCAGTAACTGCTCTGTACAGGTGGGGAATTGCAAAAAAACACTCATTTTTGCAAATTCAAACAGTTCCTCAACGTATCACTGCACTTGGCCCCACCCAGACCCCTAACAGGCCAATTCCAACATCGCTTGAAACAGCAAAACACCATTAGTATCTGCAAAAAGAAGACAAATTCATAGCAGCAAGGTAATCCTGATGATGCTGGGGATGCAGATCCTGCGTCGGGGGAACGCAGGTGTTTAGCACGCAAGCCCCGAAAACACTGGAAAATTGCAGGGTTTTGGACACCCAGCACACCATGCCCAAAAAATGGCAGCCCCAAAAGCCTTCGGCTTTGATAAGAGATCCGAAGGAACACCAAGTTGCGGATTGCCATCTACACGCTCGACTGGCGTCGGCGGATTTTGCCCCCATTTCCACCCTCGGGCTGAGACGCGGGTTTCCCAACAGCAGGTCTCCTTTTGGAGGTATGGAACCCAGACGTGTCACAAAAGCATGGGCAAGAGACCCTCAAACTCTTCCGTGCAAGGACCGAACAGCAGTGAACATAGCCATGGTGGAAATGTCAACCTGGGCCATTCCATGCAGATTTGTTCCGTGCCCCCCCCCCCCCTTGGCTCCCATCAGGTGGCCTTTGACGGTTTCTTCACCTCGGGCGGAGGCGCAGGTGATGAGCGGACCGCCGCTCGCGGTGAATGGTCCACAGGATCCCAGGCGCTGGGGGGTTCGGGGAAGGCTTAGCCCAAGTTTGAAGGACGAGATCCTGATCCCTTTTGATTTTCCCAAGCTGAAAGCTATGGATTTGGTCGCTGCCCAAATAAACTCTGGGGTGGTTTGGGGCAGCTTTCAGGGAGGGTTCCGGGGTGCTCCGGGGCTGTTGGGGATTCCACTTGGGCTTATTTCAGGAAAACCGCAATATTGTGGACACTAGTGGTTTAAACCTGCTCGAACAGGGACTTGGCCCAAGCCTGCTGGGGTCCATACCCGCCCATCATACCCCCTCAAGGCAAAAGACAAGACACGTGACAAGGCAAGGCCAAGGAAGACGAGACTGAAAAGGGCAAGACCGGGCAAGCCACTCCAAGCAAGAGAAGACAAGGCACAAATGACAAAATGAAAAGAATAAAGACACGACCAAAGGCGAGAGACAACAACAAGACCAGGCAAGACAGAGAGACTTGACCCGGTTGTGAAGTTTCTAGGCACATTGCGCCGGTGCCTTTGCCGGTGGACCTGACGGTTGAGCCCGGGTGGATCCAGCTGCGTGCAGTGCTGCCACCCTGGGCGCTGGTGACTGTGTCAGTGCCCAGCTGCAATTGGGCGGAGAGGATGGCAACGGTGGGTTTGTCTTCTTTCGCACCTAACATCGGCAAAGTTTGTGTCATTTGTGGGCCTCATTCTTGGTAAAGTGTGGTTTGAACAGTTTGTTTTTGTTGGTACCGCATTCGTAAAGTTTGTCGTTTTAGGCCCTGATATTTGTGAAAGATTGACTGGCAAAATGTGTCATTTGCCAAGTATTTCTTTGTTTGGCACTAACCTTGGAAAGACAACCTCGGGAGCGTTCCTTTTTGTTGGGCATCAACATTAGTAAAGTGGTATCGTTTTGCCACCAACATTGGGAAACACGGATGAGTTGGTTGCTACGTGCCCTTGACACATCACCCCAAAGAGAACCTGAATTGAAAGTGGCACATGGCCAAACATAAGGCCAGACCTTATGGTCTCCAACCCTTGTGCAGGGATGGCACCATCAGATTTGTTTGAGTTGGTGCCCTTGGGTGTTGATTGGATAACAAAAGCAAATCGGGCGGTCAACATATCGGTCTATGGTCCATGTGGAAAGGACATGGGATATTTTGACCATACGGGACATCACTTGAAGGAGCACACCTGCAGCAAACAAACAAATGACGCTGACTTATATTATGCACTTGCCTTCCCCGTTTGGCTGGTGTTTAATTCAGAATCAACCGGATACGGCCCCGTTTTCGGGCTGGTCGCCGTATTCAAATTCAGGCGATGACCGGGTTCTTAGCTTCCAGGGAGCATTTCGGGCAAAGCGCTCTGCGTTCCGAGTGCTCCCGTGACCGATTTTGCCTCGAAGAAGCATCAACCTGCACCCATCCCACCTTTGCAACCAAAGCCAATCAACCCAACCTGACCTGTTTGGGCCATCCACTTTTGGTGCAGCACGGAAGACATATTCTGAGCGAGCCATGGGGAAACTGGAGTTAGCTCTAGGCATCCCAAGTCCAGGCGTACAGAGGCTTCGGCCCTTGCCAGGTATTCGAGTCTCCGCAGATGATTGTGTGAGCCGGGCCCCGATTGGTGCCGCCCAAAGCGGCAGTGCAATTGGGTTTCAGAACGCCGGCGAGATATCGGGTATGCAAGCAATTGGGTCATTTCTGAGGGGCATTCTGAATACCTGAGGGGAAGTGCATGTATCAGCTTGTTGGTGTTTGAAGGGGACATTTCCTGCTGATGGACAAAGTCCTGCACCACTATTCATGGCGTTTCCTGCATCCCAACTGCTGCACGATTCTGTCCATCCACAGTACAAATCCGAACCCCAGTCGTTAGTGGATTCCACCCTCCAAATTCTCCTTTGGCTTGGTGAGTTCAGGATCCAAAATGGAATCAACCTCCAAAAGCAAAGGGTTCCCTTTAGATTTCAGTCACTGGGCAACTACGAAACTACTATGCAAGGTCCTCTGTCGGCGCGAGAAAAGGGGCGAGGGAGCACCTGGCCCTGGGTTGAAAAGTACGCACCGAGCGCGAGAGACTTGCGCGACTTGCGGTCCGATTTGGTTGACAGATGGATGGGGCTGGATTCAGTTTTGTTCTAGTACTGTGTGTGGGTTTCCCAGTTCTAGCATCCTGTGACTGCCATGATGCTTGGTGCAGGGCTTAGCACGCTGGCGCGCGCTACATGGACCACCTATGAGACGAGAGTTTCCAATGGGGACAAACTAGCTATGTTAAATTAAACTGCCGCTTAGTGGCGCGCAACATCATACAGTAGAGTATTCGGCCGAGACCAGAAACTTGGACAGTTTGATGATCGAGGGAGGGTTGGCCAGCAAGAGTGGCTCTGCACAATTGTGACAGTATCCTGGACGTCCTGATTCGACAGTCCTCTTTTGCGATGCCCACGCGACAGGTCTCGCGTGGCCCAAATGTATTCTTGTCTGAACCGGACATGTCATTTGAAGACCCCTTCACCTTGAACGCCAAACCTTCTTCCAAGAAATTGAGCTGGAGCACAGGGCGCAGCCGAAAGCCCAACATTTTCCAGTTATTTGTAGGTACCAACTATACTTGACAACTGGAACATGCAAACATTGCTGCAAAGAACGATGGAATGGTCCTGACGGTCAAACTGGTTTGGTGCCTTTAGCATGGCTTATGCTGCATTGGTGGCCACTGGTGTTTTTCTCAGCTCAGTTTGGTTGAGCGTAGATGGCACTGCCTTCAGTTTGACTGTAATCATTTACCAGTGCAAGGCATTGTTCTCTAGAGCGGCAGCTTGGTCTTAGCCATTCTCGGGCACCTCAGATAGGTTGGAGGGTTCCGGGGCTAGCGGGACGGCCTGAGGCTGGCAGAGGGCGAGCCAGTGGGACTGGCGCAACTGGAAGAGGTGGGGGAGCATGGGGGCTTGAGCGGTGCCTGGGTCAACGATTGCCAGCACCTATGTTTGCCCTTTTACGATGGCAGAACAGGTTTTACTCCTATGCGTAGGGGTGAACGACTAAGGTTGAGTAAAGGGGGTTGGGGTTGGAGCCCCTGATGACCCGCATTTATTTTTGCTTATCCCGAAACGGGTATCTGATAGTTGCTCCGGAGTTGGTAGGACCATGTTCAATGGCAGCAATCCCACCGTCAGGGGTCCAACTCGATTTGGGCTTGCTTGGTCGGTGAATTGTGTTGATGAAATGGGGATTCGAATCCCCTGGGCATACCTATGCTTGAGTTTTGCAGGTGATTCTCGATGCGAGAGTGCGTCGAGCAGCTGCAAAGCCGCAATTCCAACTTCTTTGGCGGGTGGGTTAGGGACCCACAAAAGCTGGTCAAGCAAGAAGGGTTCCTTGCAACAGAAAAGGGCCAATGGGAAAGTTCTTTTTTCATCTGGCGATGAAGAGTCCCGCATGGACTCGCTGATCTTGGCTATGATTTTTATACCTCATCGAGGTGGCTGAAGGTCCATGTTGTCATTTGTGTCAGGCTTGCGCCCAAGACTACTGCGGCTAATGGATGCCCTGTCACACAGAAGTGCCACAAGGAAGGCTTCCTGCTTTGACATCCCCACATAGATTCAAACCGACTTTGGAATCCACGATTCACGGCTTGTCGAAGGCTTTTGCGGTCGTCGGTCCACATCATGTTACGCATTGGCTGGTGTGGGAGGAAAGCCACAGAGGTGACATCATGTGACACTTTGAACTCCCAAGCCCCCCAGATGATCCTTTTTGCTGTCTTTCCTTCTTGACTCCTGAAATGGAAGATGGCAGGTTAGGTTGCGTGGTGCTTGGTGTGACCTGCCTTTGGACCCTCTGCAAGTCACAATGTGCTCCGCGATTTCACAAAGGAGGGTTGAGACGCCATTCTGCTGGCGAAGCATCATGAATTACAACCTGGTTCAACAATGAACAGCTGGCCATGATCAGTCCTGTGCAAAAGGCACCCGATACTTTGCCCCCAACACAAATTCAACTTTTGGTTGGACCTTTGAAGCTAGTCAAACCATCTTAGGTTCAATACCCGCCCAGTGAAATGGTGCACTGGTCTTTTGCAGAGGAACCGTCTTCCAGGACCTCCATGTTAGTCAGGGTTGTTCAAAATCAAACCGGAATCAGTATGCCAAACGGTCGTGGTTTCCTTGTAGTGCCCTGCTACCGATTCCAGATGAGGGATTCCGCCTTAGGAAGTGATTCACTTCAGCGGCAGAGAAAGGGGGGATCTCAACCTTCGGTTGCCGCGTCCCGTTGCAGCCAGGTCGCGGGACCTCCACCTCCAGCACCCCCGCTAGGCCTGGAATGGCGCGGCAAGGGTGCTTTGAACCCGTTTTAGATGTAGGTACGCAAGGGTATATCAGCGGTGGTACATTTTGGGTACGGGGCATTCAGGTAAGGGGTAGCTGGAAGATAGGTGGCCCGAAAGCATTTTTGCTATGGGCCCCGCCGGGAAGTCGCACTCGCCTGGAGGCCGGCTCCGAAGCCGAAGCCCGCAGCCAAAAAGGCCGGAGGGGGAGGGAGGGGGGCGGGGGTTTCAGGCGTGCCTGCAGATAGGGGAGGGAAGGAATAGGGGACTTGGTGGGTTTCATTTTTCGCATGCTTTAAATACCTAGATACAGCCCTGGTTGCTCGCGCCAGCTGGGTACAATGATCTTGGTAAAGATGGGCCGCAGCCCCAGCCATTCATAGACGTCCGCCTGTCCGCCTTTTGCCAAGACTCTTTGCTTCCTTGACCCACTGGTTGGAATGTAAACCTAATGTCCCCGCATTCATGACAGACAGACGGGCAGACAGACAGGCAGACAGACAGAAGGAAAGGAAGTTAGGTAGATTTGAGTAATTATACAGGTAGACTAGGTCGGTGGGTTAGAAAGGTAGATTACATAGATAGCTGCGTAGAGCAACAAATTCTATGGGCAGATACGTAGCTAGAGAGAGGTGCTAGGTAGATGATGGTAGATGGATAGATAGATTGGCAGGAAGGATAGACTCTTAGGCAAATCGTTAGAAGTTCAAACAGGCATATGTCGATTCATAGGTAGACAGACCAGAGGTGGCAACAGAGATAGGTAGACAACTGGACAGGCAGAGACATGGATGCATAGACACAAAATAGATCGACAAATAGGTAGGTAGATAAGTAGATAGATAGACAGACAACATGATAAGAACATCGACTGTCAGAGATAGTCAAGAAAGCACGCAAAGCACAAGTAGGGAAAACACGTGGAAAGACAGTTCGCGAAGCAAGGCAGCAGAGATATCACATAAGAATGCGAATGCAGAGAGCAAGCGCGGCAAGCGTGCGAGTCAGTAGCATCTTGCAAAGGTTGTTGCAAAGCTAGCGTTGCGGAGAAAGACCAATCACGCGCATCAGAACTGCAAGAAAAGAAATTGCAACCGCACGTGTTGCTGCGATCTTTGTGTGACACGCCACGTGCCGGCCTGGGACATTGCCTGCAGCATTGCTTTGGTTTGCTGCCCAGAAATGGCGCCCCAAGACTAAGAGCCGTGAAGGAAGTTGCAGTAGCACTTGACAATTGATCTGCATTTGGATTTTGTGGCTTCAATCAGGTTCTTTTCTTGAGGAGGGAATGACCCCTATGAACCATCCAACTGGTGGTTTCCATCAAAGGGACCCCTGGGTTCCTTCCCTCATTCCTTCCTCAGCACCAGCCGCGGTCCAAGTCGGGCGAGGCGGCGGCTCGGCCTGCGCCTGGCGCGAAGGCGAAGCCGAAGCCCAAGGCGGCGCCCAAGGAGGCGCCGAAGGCGGCCCCCAGGCCGATGGAACCGCGGGGAATCGAATGAGCCTCCCACCAACATGGAAGTGCAAAAAGGCCAACTCACCAAGAGGAAAGTAGTCTTTCTACAGGGGTCTGCGCACTTCCATGTTAGCTGGTGGGAGGGTAAGCCTCCGAGTTGGTGTTGTATGGATTTCCCAAAGGCCCGGACAGGTCCGTGCTTTCGACACGGGCATTTGCCTGGGAAGCCTGAACAAACATGAACAACATGAGCAAATATCAACGGAAACCCAGGTTTGGGTCCTGATCAGGAAAAGCAACATTCCCACTTTGAAAGGATCTTGGCTCCAAGCCTAAACCTACTCTGAACTAAATCAGCCCTCGAACCTCAACCGGGCCCATCCATTGATCATGGGTAGGGCATACACGCACACATTTCATCTCATTATGTTTCGCTACGTCGCTTTGCGACACATTACACTACTACATACATAACATGCATAGCACACATAACTTGCATAGCACACATAACACACACACACACAACACTGATACACTTATAACACGCACACATATACACCATATATGCACAGATACGTACATGCATGCATATACGTGCATACATAAACACTTGCACTCTCAAACACATACATCTACTGACGTACATACATGCATACATACATGAACACACACACACAGATACAGAAGCACATTCATCCATCCATCCATCCATCCATCCATCCATCCATCCATCCATCCATCCATCCATCCATCCATGCATGCATGCATCCATCCATCCATCCATCCATCCATCCATCCATCCATCCATCCATCCATCCATCCATCCATCCATCCATCCATCCATCCATCCATCCATCCATCCATCCATCCATCCATCCATCCATCCATCCATCCATCCATCCACACATTCACGCTCACACACGCATACACACATACAAACACACATACATACACAAGCACACACACACATACACACACAGACACATTACAGTACATAACATAACATAGCAATGCATACATTACATACATCACATACATTACATGCATATACATACATCACATACATACACATACGTTAAATACATATACATATACATTATACACACACACATACATTACATACATGACATACATTACATACATTACGTACATACATGCATACATACATACATATACATACATACATACGTACGTACGTACGTACGTACGTGCATGCATGCATGCATGCATACATACATACATACACACACACATACACACATACACACATACGCACATACGCACATACACACATACGCACATACGCACATACGCACATACGCACATACACACATACACACATACACACATACACACATACACACATACACACATACACACATACACACATACACATGCACATACACATACACATACGCATACACATACGCATACACATACATACACACATACAGACAGACAGACAGAGACAGACAGACAGACAGGCAGACAGACAGACAGACAGACAGGCAGGCAGACAGACAGATAGACAGACAGACAGAGAGAGACACAGACACAGACACAGACACGGACACAGAATCAGACACATGCACATACATGCGTGCATACGCAGATACATGCTTACATAACATACATACACACACACAGACAGATAGACACAGACACCGACAGACATGCCCAGAATGAATCGATCAACGATGAGGGGGTAGGGGTGATTGGGGGAGACTGATGCGATTGAGCCCATGGAGATGGTCCAGCTTAAAACACCGAGTCTGCCCAAACCAGCCACTGCCGACCGCATTTCATCTCCTGAAGCAAAGGTTTGCAAATTTGGAATGGAACCTGACAGCTGGTTTGGCAAAAAGAAGCAGAGAAGACGGTGCCCAACTCAGATAGCAGCCGGATAGCCCCGAATTGATGGGTGTCACTTACTTAAAGAAAAAAAGCCTGCAGGAAAACAAATTCTCTGCGCAGGCATCCCTGAGGCCACCTACAAGGCCCCACGAAATCCGTTTGAAGGACCCCTTAGTTTCCCTTTTGGTTTCCCGTTTAAACCCGTCCCAATGTTGGTTTCCCTCTAGGATCCAGCCCACCTACTTCCAAAACCAAACTCTTGGGGCAGGCCACAGGGCCCTTCTGCCAGGCCCAAGCCGAAGGCCGGGTCTGTGACCAATAGCGCCGGGGCCCCTGGCCGAAGGCGCGTTCCAAGGAAGCCCCCGGCGCAGGGCAGCGAAATGGCGACTGGGTGAAGTAGAATTAATGGCAGTCGAAGGAGAAGTCTTGGCAGAAGGAGAGTTTTCTGGCAGTAGTTTTTTTTTGGCAGTAGTGGTTGTCCAACTCCCAGTTTAGATGAGGGCAAGAAGGAGACTAGTCCTCACCGGTTTTTTCTTGAGGCCTGGGCGTGGCGGAATGATGGGCAACAAAAACGTCGTGAGGTGCTGGCAGAATGGCAACATGTTTATGTTTGTTTAAACGTTATGCATGGTGTGTGGGCCATAGACTCTTTAGCCCAGCTGCGCGAGCCCCTTTCTGCTGTTGCTGTTGACCTCGAGCTTTCAAGCCCAAGGTCAACAGCAACAGTTGCCTCCACTGGCAGGAAAGCTACTAGGCACCATTTCCCTTTCTCGCCTGCATCACTGGTGTTGCCTTGTACGTAGATTGACCTCGGGCAGATTCGGGCAGATTCAAATGCATTTCATGTACCAGTGAGAAACCAGCAATTTGCCCGCATCAAAGGACAACAACAGCGGCATGGGCAAACTCCAGCTTCATGATGTGCTTTCTATCCGATTGAAAAGCCTTCCTTGGTCGACCAAATGCATTGATGGGACCCAGCATCACCACTTGCTCTGCACATGCCAGCGCCTCCAGCAACACACCTGGAGCTATCACAACATATGCAAAGGTTTGAAGGGCTCCTTGTCACAAGGTGTGTTTTTCGAGTTTTTTTTTTGGGCGCCGGCCGGCGTTCCTGGGCTTCCCTGTGCCGACTGAGGCGCGGAGTGCAACTCGGTGCCCCGGCACGCATGGGGCGTGTCTCAACCCCCGGCTTTGAGAGCTCAGAAAAGTTCCCCAAAGGGACTGGGTTCAAGGAATCGAGCAGCGCAGGTTGTCAAAGTGCCCTCTTGAAACCCTTTTCCGAAGGCCTATTTCAGCTGTTGCGCTCCAGCACAGGTGAGCAGGGCGTTTGAAGCCGCCGGAGTTTGCGGACTTTCCAGCAGGTATCAAGCCAAGATCGTTCTGGTGTGACGGTGCAATTTGCTCGTGTTTTACTTTGCGGGAGGTCACACCTCAACTGATTTGCATGCGACAACACGGCAGGGCATGGGAGGGTTTCAAGAGGGCCTTGATCGGTTTCCCTATTTTATGTTTCTCCAGACAGCTTCCATCTGGCAATGTCTTTTGAGGGTACCCGTTTCTGGGTCTCTAAACAGAAGCTCGCACTTTGGCTTCACCATTGCAACAAAACCACCGGGGAAAAAAACAAAAAACATGTGTATGAGGAAACCTACCCACTTCCAGATGTAAGATACCCTCTTCGGCTATGATGTTTCCCCAAAAGAAGCTTGGACATTTCCGCAAGGGTTTTTGCATGTGTTTCTCCCTTGAGCTTCAGCCTAAAAGGGTGAAGGGTTGAAAAAGACAAGAAACGCGGGATGGGTTGAACAAAAAGCTTGTGAAGAAGAAAGGTTTAGTCTTCAGACCCATTCAAAGGTTCCCTGTAATCCATGTCCACCACCGGCTTCCGCGGCTCCGAGGCCCGAATCCGCTGGCCTGCGGAGCGCCGAGTCGACCCAACGGAGCCAAGGACCAGACGGAGGCGAGAGAAAAGGGGATCGATCCCAGTGCTTCTTTTGGGGATGTGTCTTTCAATACAACCAAAAGAGGTGTGTGTGTGTGTGTGTGTGTGCGTGTCTTTTTTCTCATTGGGCGTTTAGACTACGGATATCTTGTTGGACAAGAAAGGGCTTATTTCCTCGCCCCCCCCCGGCTGAAAAGTGTCGTTTTGTTGGAGACAGGGAGCCCAAAAGAGGGGTTCGGCAAAAGGACCGCCCTAGCGGCTTCGAATTCATGGGATCGGTTGAACCCCCCAGACAGGGGATTTTGTGTTTCTCTTCTGTCTTCAGTTCAGATTGACGAGAACCCCGTGAGTCAGACGGGGTCGCAACCCATCTGATGCTATTGCAAAGCCAGGCGAAACCATATTGAAAGCCAAAGGCCTGGGCATAGTACATAGGGATCTCACAAAGAGGCAAAGTGACCTCACATGGTCAATTATTGCTCACCCAAGGTCATTTGAACTGGGTTGCCTATAGCTTGTGGCTGACTGGTGTCCTTCGCGCAGCTTGCTTGGTTTTCCACTGGTTGTTCCGAAAACGAGGATTAGGCCCTGAGCCGCAGAAGCAATCATGGAGCCCCCGAAGAGATGAGAATGCATGCTGAGTTGTTTGGGCTCTTTCAGGGATTTGTCGTGCCTTGCCCAAACCTTGGCGTCTCTTATCACTTTTGAGGTTGTTATGTTCATGTCCCTTCTATTTTACCTGCTATTGTTTATCTCACATATTGTCTTTTCATCGATATTTCCCAGTATCACTTTTCTCGTTATCGTTCTATTCATTTCTCACCTATAGCTTTCCCAGCAGAAACTGCTACAGTTATGAATGCTCGCAGGCAATTGCCCTATAAGGGGCACGCGGGCAAGCACAGGCTCCTTTGATTGAAGCCGCAGTGCTTCCTGTTGCCATGATGGTGAATTGTTGCCATCATGTCAATCGTGCAAAGCTAGAGGTACAAAGCCCACTTGCTGTACCAAAGTCCTAACCGGAAGCACCAGGGCATAGGCAGTTTGCCACTGCTTAAATAAGATGTCAAGGGTGCCGCGTTTCGGTTTGATTCAGGTACCATGAGCCCTGGAATTCAGGAGCGGTGATTTTGATTCATGTTAGTTTGAGGTGTGGATTTAGGTTTTGCACAAATATGACTGTGGGTCAAAACCAATGGCCCCATTTTGTGGTAGGTGCACCACCCATTTTTAGGACCTGGGGATTGGGATGTTCACTGGGGGTACGATTTGGATTTTGACCCATGGCAAATAGGGCGCTGTCCACTCTGCGAGGCGAGGAGCCTGCCCCCAAGGCCGGGGCGGGAGAGATCGAACGATTTTTTTTGGCATGCGGGTCTCGGCGCATCATATTTTCCTGGGGCGCAGGGGGTGGGCAGTTCACTTCAAGGAACAAATGGTGTTGAAGGATTTATGGTTTCAAGCATGTAGCGGTTTTCCTTTTGTCCTGGGTTGCATGAATGAGGTTAGATCCCTGCAACAACCTTTCCTTCAGAAGTCTGTTCGCCGTTGGCATGATATAAGATGACAATCCCCAAGCCTGCTGTTTAACAGAGCTACAGGTTTGTCGCCAGGTTCAGAGCGATCCCATTAAAGGGACTCTGCCCCACACATGTGTTTGTTGTGGGTAGGGATTCAGATCGATATATGATATATGGAAGGCAGAACCCCCCCACGATTTGGAACACCTGTGCAGGTCTCATTGAAAGGAGGACCGTGTGACCTCCGATCAGCTTCCATAGCGGGCGTGGTTGCACTTGGTGGGAGCATCTGAACAAGGGCCAACAGGGGCCCTTTTCGATCTTGCAAGTATGGTGTGTGTTGGTCAGATGATGAGGTGTTGGTGAGGTCAATCTTGAGACACTGGCGATTTCTTGTTGTCCAGTCCGGTTGCTGACTGGCGAGATGGAGGGGTGGCCACAGTGGATTGGTTCTGCCTCTGGAGGTAACCCTCGAATGGGGGCCCGGTTTCTTTTTGGTTCGCGGTACCCTCAGGCAAAGACCAGCCCACTTACCAGGTAATCAAGGGTTCCTTTGTTTAATGGTTGTCATGGAACTGTAGACTATAGTGTCAAATGAGATCACTTCAGAAAATATATGTTGAAGCCAGTGAGCCCTCCAAACGATTGTACTTTTGCATTTTGTTCAGCTTTCAACGACGTGTTGCCAGGCGTCGTTTTAGGTCCGATTTGTCACCCCGAAGTTAAAGGGGTCTACCTCTTTCCAACATGGAAGTGGGTGAGAGGGGGGTTTTGAAGATAGACGTCCGAATCCCTCCGATCGTGTTTGCATTCTTCACTCTGACTGCCTTGTTGGGTGTGCGTGAAAACGAGCCGATGGCTAGGTTCACAATTTGCTGGCTTCCTTTCAGCATGTGAGCAACAAAGCCCATAGTGTTTCAGGTTCAGTAGTAACGTAGTGTTAGTGATGTTTACATTGGCCTCAGGATAACCCCCTGAGACCTCTCAAGCCTCATCTGAAATGAGTAGCCGAGATGATTGAATTGATCCGGGCAAATATGAGGAAACCTTAAATGCAGCGTATTCAAGTGACTGCTGGGCAGGTTGAAGTGGCACAAGCCAGCCGACAGATGTATGACTGTGCGCACAGGTCTTAAGGATTCCTGTTGCTGTCTTCCAGCATGTTTCTGCTACTACTTTTGGCCGGAAACTGATCGGACAGCTAGCGTCCCAGTTGTCGCTCTTCCCGTCTCAAAATGAGTATATCTGTGTAGCCCTTGATTGCTTCTTTATGATGTCAGGGCCCCTGATCAAAGGGCTTCTCAGCACACAACCTGCTGCAGTCCAAAACATGCAGGACAAAAAGTGTGCAATCAGAAATAGTAGGTTTCAGTTCAAATACTTCTGTTTTATTCAAAATGCTTCTGTTGCATTCCTGAGGGAGTGTGCTGGCTGCCCCACGCATTCCACAGGCACAGGTGTCCAGGTGGGTGGCTTGGAGCTCATAAATGGTTTTCTGGGGCTGCTACGTGGTTGTTTCTCCAAAGCCCCCAATTGCTACACACATGCCGCTTGGTGCAGGAATCCAAAAAGTCGAATACGTAAAAGGAAATTAACAACAGAGAAACAAAAAAATAACACAAAGCAACAGTCAAAGACGCATGAACACGTGCCGAAAACATCGAATACATTCAACACATGCCGACGAATTCAAAACTACCGAACAACTAAAGGGCATTCAAAATCATGGCGAATAAGAACAAGGGTATCCAGAAACATGCCGGCGAAAACAAACACACACGCAACGCTTTCGGACAAATCAAAATTATGTCAAACAATGCCACGCAATCAAAGCAGCAAATACGAACACAAATCAAATCATTCAACAGAAATCTGAACAAAATGGTTTTGTGAAAGGCTGCATTGTAGCCAGTGCAACCTAAAAACAAAAGGGGCTCCGATTGGTTTGCTAAGCTGGTTGCTTGGCTGGCTAGCTGGTTGGTTGGTTGGTCGGTACATCTCCGCCTAGATGGGTAGAGAACTCTAAGCCATTTAATCCTTCCAGTTGACACCACAGCATTGCTGGTGGGACGTCAACCGCAAATCCAAGCATTATGTGTCCCAAATGCACCCCAAATCAATTTGAATGATTTGGACGTATTGTGAATGCTCCTTGCAAGCCCCCATGAGTGGCCCTCCTACAAAATGGCGCTTTTAAAAAATTGTGTCTCCAATGTTTGAACCAACACACCTCAGCTCGGTTCAGCTGCAGCTCTGCTTCCTTGCAGACTTTGCCACGTGCCGCGCGTTGTCGTCTTGAGTATGAGTTCCATCCTGAGGCCGGTTGTGTACGACGGCAAATACCTGTGAATCTCAGCTCCGAACTCGCGACATCACTCATACTGGTTCATTTCTGCATGCTCGAATCTCAGATTTGGGTGCGCCGAGCTAGCATGCGTACAGGATTGCGGAAACAGTTTTTCACCCGGGCAAAGCTGCAGGTCTTCAGGGCTCGCCACATGCCATGTTCTCCCGGGTTGGATCAACGCCTGTCACTTCTGGATCATTTGGTGCGCGACAAAGGCCCAATTCTCAACACCTGGCAGAGCATTGGCGTGCGTCCCGTTTTCATGCACCGGGCCACCTCTGCGCGGCAGTTCTTAGCCGTGGGTCGAACTGAAATGGGGGGAGCGTTGGGATCTGCTTTGCAGCTGTGGTGCTCACCTTTCCGACGTGCACTACGATCACCCGCCCGCCCGCCCGCCCGCCCGCCCGCCCACCCACCCCCTTTCATCGAGCGGATTTGGCACCAACTGACTTGAACTCTGCAAAGCAATACGTCCCGCCTGCTAGCTCTCGTATCATCATCTAGCACGCGGATAGTGTACCATTCAGAAGTGACGCGTCTTGAGTTCTGAGGTAATTATTCACAGTGTCTTCAAACATGCAAAAACGGCCTCCATCACCCCCCCCCCCCCGGGACAATCCTCATTTTTGTCAGAGGAGGTTTGAAGTATCTCAAGAATATTCAATGTGGTGACACCCACGTCGCTCAGCCAGGAGCTCATAGCGGCCTCACCAACGATGATAGTTCTTCATTTGAAGATCTTTCGAAAGGCTGATACTTGAACGGCCCAGTTGTGGCGGTGACCATTCTACAACTTTACATCCTGGTAACCTGCAATGTTAACTCGCAGCCCTTAATTTAGGGGGTTGGTTTCTCTAATAGCCATTGAGTTGCAGTGATGCATCCGACGGTCGCAGCTGTTAGGCAAAGGCCAAAGCAAAGTCCTCGAGCAAAATCCCGTCAAATGCAAGACGCCAGGCTGCAGTAGACGCAGATGGTGCTTCCAAGGGCTCCAACAACTTTAATGCGAGATGTAACCCCGAATTGGTGGTTTGGATTTGGATTTGAACCCTGGTTCTTGTGGGTAAATGGGAAACCCCTCCAGAATACCACCAAACAACCCATCCAAACAACCAGTTAGAGGGAAGCTGACACTGGGCATGTGGCGTGACTTTGAGTCATGATCATTGTCGAGTCCCTCTTTATGAGTCTACTGTTGATTCTGGGCCCCTCGAACTGCCCGCGAACGGGCTTCCAACCCAATGGCTTATGCCTTGGCAAAACTGATGTCCGTGGCGTATAGAGAGTAAAGTGAAAACGTGAGCCAATAGCAAATCGCAAGGGTGCAGGACAGGAGCGGAGGTGTGGAAGTACACAGGGGACTTCGTTCCTTAGTATGGGCTTCTTGTTCAACACGTGTCAATCCGCATGCTTGCTTATTCCATTTACATGTGCTTCGGTGCTTGTTTCGGCTATGTCTCCCTCGGTCAAAACATGGTGTGGTTGCTTTCTACCAGAGACCAATGGAAACGACCAACGGGACAACAGGTTGGAAGAATCCCTAGTTATTCCTCACCAGATGTGGCATTTTGCTCGGTTTTTGCGGCTAGTTTGCGAAACCATTGCCAGTTCCAGGGCCATGCATCCAATTAGAGCAGTTGGGTGCTGCCTCTGAGCCGCAAGGGGCAGCCCCCTTGCCGGCGGCGGTCCACGTAGCAAGCTTTCACGTTTACGTGGGCAAGTCTAGAGATCTTCACCCAGTTTTTCGGTGGCAACTTGTTCCCCTTTGTTTGGTGGGTTTCTTATTCAAAATGGTCAATCTCCCAGAGAGTTGGTTTGCCAAGAGCTTTGCATCTGTGAGCGGGTACAGACAAACGACCATGTCTGCAAGTATCCAAACAACGAACAGCTCGCTTTAAACGCTTCAAACCTTTGTTCAAGATTAGTTTTCGCAGCATGGTTTCTAGATTTGAGCTGGTTCCTCTTTTGAGCGAATCCTCGTGTGGTTTGTCGCTAGCCCCCATGTGCCATTGCCTAGGACTGGATAAGGTGGACAAAGTGCCGTCTGAGAAAGCACAGGCGCCCTCGTTGACCGGGTTGCCATGCTGGCCGTCCAGGGTATGAGGAAGGGCAAGTTGAAGTTGGCATTGCTCGAGTTGCTCCTCGTGCTCGTGGTACTCGTGAAACGAGTGTCGAGGTAGCTGTGTGAGCTCCGGGATCCATTTCGTCAGTCCGCAAAAGGGCCTCGCCAGGCGCCCGAGCCAGCCCCGGCTGCCGCGGCGCCGGAGCCGTCGCCGGCGCCGGTGGCAGCGCCGGCGCCGGCGCGGGTGACCATGCCATCTGCGACGCTCAATGGCGACACATCACCGAAGACGGGGCTGGCTGGGGCGGTCGCTTGTGTCGGGCGAGCATGGCATGTTGTGTTCATTCTTTCTACCGGTAAACAGAAAGGCGGGGGCTTCCTTTGTGGCCCCACTGATTCAGCCCAAAGGACCGTCCTTTTGCCCTTTGCCATCGTTTACTATTGGCCAACCGAACATGTGTTGTTGCGGTGGGTTCAGAAATGGGGTTTGGCATGAGGGGTTTTTTCAGGCTTTTTCAGCAAAACAGCCAAAAAGGGTTGTTAAAGGGAAGAGTCATATCAATTGTGGGTGCATTCCTGAAGTGAGATGTCTAGCGCTGGCCGTCAATGGCAGAAGGCTTGAAAGAAAGCAAACAACTCCACACGTCTAGGGAAGAACCAAACAACACCAAGCCATCCATTCCCCTTTCCCTCCACGGCTGCAGTGGTTCTTGAGAATCCGGATGCCTACCTACTCAGGAACGTTTCAACACTCGGTTGACCTCTCGTAGCAGCCGGTGTCGTGGTTGGTTCCTGTAACTCTCCAGATGCTCTAGTTGGTGTTTGGGCTGCCTTTGAACAAGCGTGCCATGAACGGGGCCCTGGTCTTGACACAGCAGCTTTCCGGCTTTTTGCTGGGCAGACCCTTTGTTCGCCTGACAGGAGACATGGCTCGGGGGTAGCATCGATCAGGTTGGGATTGAACTGGGATCCGCTTCGGTGGTGAAAAGGGCACGAAAAGGCAACCACCATCGAAGGCCTGCTTCCCAGTTGAGGAACCCAACCGAGGTCAAACCGGGCCGCACCAAAAGGTCTCATGGTGCGGGCAGAGGGCTGAATCTGCCAAAAAGGGGCTAATGGAGAACCCCCCTTTCTGAGTTTCAACTGATATCTGATATTGTTTTGGACCTCCCGCTGTTGGCATCCAATTTGTGCGGAGCTTTTGTTTGTCCAGTGCTCTTCCAATGCCAAGTTGATGTTCAATCTCCCCCAACTCCCTCCCTGCCTGGGCCGATCCTCTCCAGTGAAGGCAAGAAGCATCTGGCGGTTGAGAGAGAAGTGTGTCGTGTGTCTCACCTTTTGTCATTTCAGCACTGCCACTGTGGTATGGGGTCGAAATCAATTGCCCCTCCCGCATGGCAGCTGACAGGGGGTCCAATCTAGAGGACATTGATCTTCCAGGCACCCCACAGGTACCATGTTCGTGGGGGGAAGGGTAGACCTCTTCAGGGGCTCCAGCCGCTGTTGACCATGGCTGCATTCCGCTTTGCTTCGGCTGGGCCAATTTTTGAACTGCTTTCAAAGTAAGAAATGGGGGTGGTGTCCCTTCAACCAAATGTTTAAAGGGAGGGTTGACCTTGAGAATGGCAAAACCTGGGAACCCGTGTTGAGATGATGGAAGTGTTCCATACGGGTAAAGTTCGGGGACGTCTGTTTAGCGCAGGATGGAGGTGGAGAAGGAGCCCTCCTTGGCAACAGGCGCGAAGAACGTCGATCTGCGTTCATCCAGTGGCTTTCGGGCCCCTTTGCTTACCCGTTGTTTCCCGTTGTTCTCATTTGGCCTCCTACCGCTTGTTCTATCACGGGGGCAAGAGTCAAGTACCCTCTGATCCGGGTGTGCAATTGGCTGCCAGGTTGGGTAGTTTGAGAGTTTTCTTTCATCTAACGTATATGGGTGCAGGTAAAGCTTTCAGGGAGTTTGTTTGTTTGTTTGTTTGTCTGTCTGTCTGTCTGTTTGTTTGTTTGTTTGTTTGTTTGTTTGTTTGTTTTTGGTTGTTTGTTTGTCGGTTGAATTTGTTTGTTTGTTGCTTTGTTTCTTTGTTTGTGTGATAGTTTCTTTTTGTTTGTTTGCTTGCTTGCTTGCTTTTGCTTGCTTTTGCTTGCTTGCTTGCTTGCTTGCTTGTTTGTTTGCTTGCTTTGTTTTTTTGATTGTTATTTTTTGTTTGATTGAGTTGCCTTTGATTTGTGTTTTTTTGTTTTTAATGTGTTGCTTGTTTGCCTGCTTGCTTGCTTGCTTGCTTTTGCTTGCTTGCTTGCTTGCTTGCTTGCTTGCTTGCTTGCTTGTTTGTTTTTTGTTTTTTTGGTTTGTTTGTTTGCTTTTTTGTTTGTTTGTTTGCTTGAGTTGCCTTTGAGTTTTTTTTGGTGGCTCGCTCGCTCGCTCGCGCTTGCTTGCTTGCTTGCTTGCTTGCTTGCTTGCTTGCTTGCTTGCTTGCTTGCTTGCTTGCTTGCTTGCTTGCTTGCTTGCTTGCTTGCTTGCTTGTTTGCTTGTTTCGTTGTTTGTTTGTGTGTTTGTTTGTTTATTTGTTTTTGTTTGTGTGTGTGTGTGTGTGTTGTTTTTCTTTTGTTATGTTCTCAATTATTTCCTTAAGTGGGTCCTTCTTTTCTTCGCTCTTTCTTTCATTTGTGTTTTCTTTTGTTGCTTGCATTTTTTTTTAGATTATTTTCATTAGTTTTCTTTTTCGGGTTGTTTGTTTGTTTCTTTGTTTGGTTTCTTCCCCTCGTTGCTTGTTGGTAGGGTCTGGCTTGGTTGGGTATGGTGTGGTTTGGTTTGTTTTCTTGCTTCCTTGTTTTTTTCTTTTTGGTTTGCGCTGAACATTAATAATGCCACGCAGCGCCTTCGATTTCATCGAGGTGCCAGTGACTTCAGCCATGCCGCATGAGAGCAATGTAAGAATGTTTGAGACACTGAGCCAACCTGGGGATAAACCAAGCTCCCCCTGATGAAGGCACCTTGACTTGAACCATAGTAGTTTGCTCCGAGAGCGCCACTAAGACCGGCTGACATCAACCCAGTAGAATCCAGCAAGCCTCGTTCTCAAGGAATCCACGATAAAAGGTGCTGGAGGGAGGCTCCCATCTTGTCAAGGTAATTTTGTGTATGTGTATGTGTATAAATGTATATTTATATATACACAGTCTATTTAATTTGTGGATTTGTGTCTTCGGGGCACAACATTCCTCATAATTTTCAGCAGATGTGTTCAGTCTGCTTTTTTCCCTGCCAACTGCAACTTGCCTCACTGCAGGTAGAACGGCTGTGTCGTGGCTTGGATCAAAGAGCGTTTGCATGACTGGCACATAGTGTCTCAAATGGGGGCACCCCCAACACTTGCTGGTTCTCAGCAGGGAATGAGGGAATGACCCCTATAAACAATCCCCTATGGTTTCGGAATCTTCAGGGGTTCATTCCCAACACCCTGGGTCATTCCCTCCTGAGCACCAGCAAAGAAATGGGGTGGGTTTCTTCGGTGGTTTCACGGGTGAGCTCATTGTTTTGTTTCATTTGGGGTGTCAAAATAAGGGGACCCCGTTACATCACCTGAAAAGGGGGCATGCCGGGATTCACTTGGACACCATGCCGCGGATTGTTCTCTTCAGATTTGCCTAGGGGTCAAGCGATTCCACCATGGAATTGTCCGATGAATTCCGTAGCACTGCTTTCCACTTGGTGAATGATAGAAGTTAGCACGGACAAATGCAACCAAACGTAGTTTCAACATGAACCTAGCGACACCAGCCCAGTTGCCGGCCAAGCCATGGAATGTAGGGCGGGACAGTAGAGGGTGTCTGTGGTTTCCCTTCATTAGAACCCGTGCCAGGGTGTTTGGTGCAACCCTGGAATGAGCTTAGCCGATGCAAAATTGCGAAGGTGATGTTTAGGGGATTCAGTGAGGCTCAGGCTTGTTTTTGGTGGCCTTGGTCCAGTCCAACCCAGCTATCTCCGAGCTAGAGATGTTACGAGTACACCTGAAGATGAAGAACGTCTGAGAGGACTCGGGCTGCCGTGAGACCACAACTGGTAGGGCTTCGGGGGCGATTCGAAGCCGCTACACAGTACCACGAACCAATATGAACCTTATAACCAGCTCTCAATCCAAGAGAATGGAGCAGACAGGATCCCTGGAACCTCTGAGTTTGTTTGCTTGTTGTCTCTTCTGATTCCTGAATTGCTTGGGGCAGCTGTTATTCATCCTCCTTAGGAAGACCCCCCCCCACACGCCCAGTGATTCAATTTACCTACCCTTTAAACACAAAAGGAAGATGGGCGGCCTACTGAGAGGCTTGCCTGGGATCCGGAATGTGGCTTATTAGTTTGGAAGCGACCTTTGCTTGGACTTCCAGGCCGACATGGCCAGTTCAAACCCTCCCAGATGGCTTTTGAGTTGGGGCGAAAGGAATGGGGTCATGAGGTCATGGGGGCCTCTAAAACCATACTTGCGTCACTGTGAACCCCTTATGTGTCTTGCAGCATAGGTGCCCATCGAGCAACCGTTCCCAAGCTTTCGGCGCATGGATCAGAGAAACCTTTCGAGTCGGCGAACTGAGGCAAACGCAGCCGCCCCTCAAGGCGAGCGATGGGGAACTACCGAAGCGCTACGTTGATTTGCGCATGAGAGTCTGGGCTTTGCCACTGGCTCCTGATGCCCTTCTTGTAGCTCTGATTTGTCTGGACTGGCCACGAGCGAACCGCTGGGAATCCAATCATGGAGTTGTTTGGAAACCAGCGACGCACTTGACTGCACCGAACTCAACCTCCTGGGAACCATGATTTATGATTGAAACAGGCAACCGAAGATGGGCATTGTGAGATCCAGTTTTCTTGGTATCCATGGATGTTTATCAAAGGTGGTTGGTTGGCCTTGGGTGTTTCTTGTAAACTTAACCATATATACAGACCATCGACGACTCTGCCCATTTTGAGACGACCCCTACGTGCATGCTTGACGAGGCCCACAAACAGGGGTTATTTATTTTGCAACGCCCCACCCCATGCACGCTTGGCGAGCCGATGCTTTACTGCCAGGAGGCCCAGGATGCGTACCAAACCTTACCTCGCAGGCAAATATTGCTGCCGCTGGCGAGTAACACGTGCTACACAGGGCGTCTCGTCAGCCAAATTCACAGCACAGGGTGTGATGTGTTTTGGGGCATACCTTCTCTTTCATTGATATGGATGCTAGCGGAAGGAGTCTGGAGCATAAATCCATGCACAGGGGCAGGTGGGGGTCGCTGACAAACTGGCAATCCTTTTGGGGACCCTGCAGGAACTCAGCAAGTACCATTTAAACGAGTATCCTTTTCAACATTTAAACGAGTATCCTTTTCAAGCCAATTTCAACATGGCTTGGTCTAGGTGATTCTCGCTTGGGGTGACGTTACAGGGGCAAGCGTTGGGAGTTGTGGGGCGCTTTGGTCGGGCCAGGCCGTGCCGCCGATCCCGGCCAGCATCCGTGTCACCCAGGATGGGCGACAGATGCCGCTCGGAGTGGAAGGGAACCCTTCTGGTGGGTGGTGGGCGCGGAACTTGTGGAAAGAGCTGGGGTTGGTCAAAACCCATCCATACAGCGGCTTCCCCTGTGGCAGTGGCTTCCCCAGTGGCGTCCCACTGCGGATTTGGGTCGATGCCCAGTTGGAACCAGGTTGCAAGGTTGCTCCGAGCCTCTCGCAAGGGCAGAAAAGGTGGGTTGTTCCTTTACCAAGGACCATTTTCGTGATGCCAGGGGTTGGGATATGTTGTCGGTTGACAAAGTGTGAGTGCCTAACTCCAATCATGCTGAGGCGAACCATGCAACACCACATCAGCAAACTTAGGAGATGATCACGGCAGAATCAGTAGTCCCAACTTGAGGACATGTCGCATCCCCACTCCCAAAAACATGTAGAGGGCGGTCGACGTCAAGGGGGGGTCCTTGTTATGGAGTCCCCATGGTGGGTAATTGGTTCCATTGAACACAAATGTGTAGCCAGGCGGGTGCCCTCATGATTTCCACTGGCGGGGATTTTCCTTTGGCAGGAGGAAAGATTGTAGTCATAGCCAAGTCCCCTTTCCATAAGGCAATGTTCGGAGATATGAGCCGAGTCAGCTTGAAACTTGAAAGACAAGGAAAGGGCAAAGGGATCTTGGCCCTCTTCCCCAACTTAGCTTTAGCAGGCCCCGGTAAACCTTCGATCATGGACGCGCCTTTGCTCCGCGCACTCCGTAGGGAAGCGTCCAGGTTCGCTTGTGCATGAGCAATTCATATACGAAGTGCATGCAAAAGAAGCTAGGTAGCCTTAGAACAGAAAGAAAATTTGCAAAGCAGTCAGGATGAAGAGCACGACAATATTGCTAGCGGCACTTTGCCACGGTGCTTGTTTCTTGTCCCAGATGCCAACCGTCAAGCATTAGTGTCCTTTGGGCTTTCCGTTCGGCAACGGCAATCTTGCGAGGTTGGCATCAGTTTCTGTTTGCATGTTCAGCCGTGTTAGTTGATTTAGTTGATGGCGTGCCAGGACAGATTTGAATCCTTGTTGTTGAGTTGCTTAATTAATGGCCAAGTTGCGCGGATCCTTGGTTCGCGGTCTTTGCAACTATCGGAGTCACTTTGCGGGTTTGTGTTTGCACATGCATGCCAAGTTCGTGGTTCAGGTGGGGTACTGATCAGTGAAGGCCCCACAACAAATTGGTCTTGTAGTAGATCCTGCTTAGATTAGGTGCAGAATTGGTTTAGTATTGGCTTGTGCTGGCCCAGGGCTGTTTCGTTTTGGTTAAGAATCTGGGTTGTTTCACCGCAAAAGACATGTTCTTGGTACTGTGTTCCTTAGGCCGGTAAATATGTTTTGGACATACTATTGAAGATGCGTCTTATTTGATGTTCTGCGTGTCCTAATTGACTACCCTCCAAATGGTAGGTTTCCCAGTTTCCCTTCCAACCCCTTCCTTTCCAAACCCACCGCAGACGGGGTCCGCACGGCACGTTGAGCAGAGGAATAACAACAAGCAGGAGATCTGAAGCCGTAGTTGCAAACTTCCGTGCTGTGAGGACAGCTGCTGAAAGGTTCTACAAGGTCCTTGTTGCCTCTCTCCAATATATCTGCCTCTCCTCCTCTACTGACCACCCCTGGCTTGCTAAGGCTTATGGAGCCAGTGGAAGCTTGGCTTCAAATGTTTACGCTTGCCGCAGGATACTGGGGACAAAACTCATTCTTGCAGCAACAAAACAGAGAGTTGGGACATTTGTCAAACTGGGACCCCGATGATTAGTTCAATGTTAGTCTTCGTTTCGAACGAATCAAAAGCCGAAGTACCCGGCGTTTGATGTTTTTGGATCATGAAACAAACTCTCCTCGCCCGCTCTGAACCCCGGGAGCCCATTTCGGGGTCTGTCCCAATCCCAGTGGACGTGTCTCCAAACCCATCCTAAAAAAGTGCCCTAAACAAGAGAGACACTTGTATAAACCATGCATCGTAAAGACGGGTCCATCCCTTCCTCTCTGGGAGGGGCTGATCTATGCTGGAGGGTTTCAGTTACGAGAGCACTTCACCAACGATAGCGGAGATGGAGAACCCTTGCCGCCTGATTAATCACTCTTCCGTCCCTTTGTTCATGGCAGTTGTTCAGGCGGGAGTTCTCTGAATTACGGTGACGGTTAATCAACATAAACATGCCAAATCGGATCGGAGCCCTGAACTTGTTTACCCAAGGTAACTACTTGGAACACTTCCATGGTCCGAATGTCCCATTCACTGCCAGCCTCGAAGTCCTGATTTGAGATTTACATGAGGTTTGGGGAGCGAAGGTGTACTCACTGGGGTCAGTGCATTTTCCCCATGGGAGTTGTCGGTGCCTGGCAGCTGGGTGTGGGGTGTGTGGTTTGGGTTGGTTTGATTTAGGGTTTGGGCTACGGTCCCAGTTAATTCTTAAAGAGGCACCCCGCTTGGCCGCCCCATGGCTTCTAACTGCCGTTGTGAGTGTCCCTTTGAGCAACAGGTGGCTTAGCCCAGTCATCAGTTTGCTGCGTTTAGGGCTCGCTTTTGCAGCGTTTTCAGGCTGTGGTTGAACTTGATTTAGTTTGGGTTCGGTGCTTCAGGGTTGGAATGAGGTTCGATGAGCTGGCTTCAGGGTTGGTAAGGACTGCTTCAGTCCGGAGAAGTCTTGACGAATTTTGGCCGCTGAACCGTCCCAAGCGGCGGTGGACTTTGGCAAGCACACAACCCCACAGCTTCGCCCCAAGAGTCTGGGCAAAGTTGTTTGGGCCAAGCTGGTTGCTCAAGATTGCTTCTTGCGGCCTACCTTGTCACTTTTTAGACACCCACCGGTCACCCAGCATTCTACCACCTAAGTTTTCACTTGTGGGTCAAAGACCAACCCAGTCACCGGGCTAGGCGGCGCCCTTCCGGCAGTACACCGCGCAGTGCGGCAGCTCCCTACAGGCGAAAGCTTCGACTGGTACGTTCCTCTTCGGTGTTTGTTTTAAAGCGCCGTGTCTTTGAAGATGCCCTAGGAAAACCACTCCTTCCTTGCGAGTCTGGGCTGTTGGGAAAACATGGAGACATGGAGGGACCCAAGGTGTTGGCCATGAATCTCAATTGGGCAGCCCATGAAAACCCGCGAGCTTCTCTTTGACATGATGCTAAGGGACATAGGATCCAAGTTTTGTCTACTCACAACTTTCGGGAAGTAAGGGAAGCACCGACCATTTCGTGTATCCCGGTCAATTGTTGTCCAATTGATTTCCGTTTGCTGCCACGTGTTCGAACAGTTGTTCCCAAATTTATGTTGTATTTTGTTCCTTGGTCAGTGAGTCAGTCAGTGAGTCAGTCAGTGAGTCAGTCAGTAAGTCAGTCAGTGAGTCGGTCAGGCAGTCAGTCAGTGAGTCAGTAAGTCAATAAGTCAGTCAGGTAGTCAGTCAGTCAGCCAGTCAGCCAGTCTGTGAGTCAGCCAGTCAGCGAGTCGGCCAGTCAGACAGTCAGCCAGTCAACAAGTCAGCGACCAAGTAAGTGAGTGAGTCAGTGAGTCAGTCAGGTGGTCAGTCAGTCAGCCAGCAGCTAGTAGCGCTAGTTAGTTAGTCGCTGCTTAGCTGGCCAGCTAGTTGGCTTGCGGGTGTGGCAGAGCAACGCAACCGGCATCCCCGCAAAGGTGAACCTCTGCGCTTCACTCACACCACTGACGGTCATTGCTCAGGGCTCCTTGACACCATTTGCCAATTTGTTTCGACACTTTAAAGCGCTAGCTTTGCCACCAAGCCAAAAGGACACCCAACCATTTTGTGGGGTACTGATCAGCTGGATATTCCACGACCGGAAAAAGTCAGCTTGCCCTTCGGCAAGAGAGGCGTCGGCCGCGATTCTCGCAGGTGCCAACGCAGGTGCAGCGCTTCTACACGCCGCAGCTCGGGCTTTGGACTTCGACTCGGTCGATGGCCCACAAGGGGGCGCTGGGGTTTTCGGGTGAACTGAGCCATTTTAATCAGACGCTTGAGTCCAGCTCCGCGCCTTTGGGAAAATGTGGGCCCCTATTTTAACGACCCGAAATGTGTTTTTTTTGTGGGTGTATACTGTGTATCTCCCTGTTTGATTGGTTCAAGGGGGAACCATGTATTTAAGGGGGGGTATTTGAAGAAGTCGAATGGGTTGACATTGGGCACTGCCTAAGGAATGTTGGGGTCCAAAACAGCGTCTCGACGTTGTCGACCACCTTATGGAGCAACTTCTGATTTGTCAGAATGACCGTCATCAGGAGACTTCCCCAAAATGAATCATGGCGAAATGTCAACTGAGAAGAGTTGCATTTGATGCATCCCACCTCAAAGCTAGCGGGGGCGCCCCCCCCTGTAACAGGGGAGAAGTCATTCTTTAGCAACTGTTATGTTGCCCACCAACGAGTAATCTACATTGGTGCGCGGATTCCCTTGACAGCTTCTTGGCCCAACAGGTTGCCTGCAGACTATAGTTATGCCAGTAGGTTTTTGGAGTACTGAGCGCCACTTGTCGATGCAGGTATGTATCTACACCCCCAACAACCCTTTCCGACACATTTTCCAGTCGGTAGAAATACTGATGCTGCGGTGATTTCAATTCAGTTCTCAATCCGTACACCAGATGGGCGTGGTTTCCCTGGTAGTGGTATCTCACAACTTGCGGTTCTCCCCCTTCACCCCAACCCTCCTACCCCGTTTTTGGACAAGCTGGAGTGTGTGGCCCAGAGGATCCAGTTACTGTCCCGGGTTGTCTATAGAGGTGGATGCTGGGGTTGGAGGCCTTATCCCCACGGGTCTGCATGAGGTATGTGGTCTCCAGACCCGCCAGCGCCACCATCCCGGTGGCGCCGGGCAACAGCATCTCTGTGATGGCCCAGCTGTCGCCGTCCAGCGTCTTTAGGCGCACATCCCATTGCCGCAACTTGGTTCCGCCGGCCCCATGGAGGTGCCCCGGATTTTTTGTTTATTAAAACATAAATCGAACTTAACCGCTTTGTGAAAGAAGTCAAATTTGTCCTTTTGGTATCATTATACCTATGCACATCCAACATCCGTCGCCGATGGGGATAGCTGGTAACTCGGCACAGGTCTCCCAGCCAGCCGGCCATGGTGCCGGGCCCGCGGCACAGTTTGCGGGCCCCGGTCTCGATGGCCCCGTGCGTGCCGCAGCTGCCGCTGCCGCAGCTGCCGCAGCCCTTGCCCCCGCACCTCGGATGAGAACTGGAGAAGCGAGTCATGCCTTACAGCAGCCCCTGGCTTCAACGAAAAAGTGCCCCAAAGTCTGGAGGAAAGCGGTGGCGGTTCCGAGTTTGAGATGGAACATGTTGGAAGTGGTAGGCTTGGTTTCCAGGATGCAGTTTTCAGGTAAAAAGTATAGATACTGCCGTGTTTGTATATTTGGGGGACTTTCCAGCACACTTACTTGTAGTGGAGCACTTTGTTTGCATTGGCTTCGAATGGATTTCGAACTGTTGTGGCATTTGGCTTAGTGTTAGTTCTAAAAATGCGCCCCCAATCCGACAGGAGTTGGGGTCGCCAGGAAGCATCGGGTTTGGGGTATCCAATTACCGTAAGAGGAAGTCTCAGAGTTGGGGGCTCTTCCGGTTGTTTTCCGCTTTCTGTTCCCCTATTATCTAAACCGTTTCCCAACTTGAGAACAGCCCGTATACAATTCCAATGGTTTCCCTTGGTGAGCAAATGGAAGCAATGTGCATGTAGATATATATATATAATACATAGGTTGGTATGAGCCAGCTTGAAACTTGAAAGACAACTAAAGGCCAACATGTTAGGCGCAGTCTAGATTTCTTACTCCCTCGCTGGGGCAGATGATGCCTACTTTGGGTGGAAGGTTGCCACATTGTTGCCAAATAACGACAAACAATACTACTCATTGGCGGACATTTCTCGGAAGCAAAAAGTGGGACTGATGCTCAGCGACTGGAAATGCTGGGCCCGGGTTTCTTGTGGGTTGGGGGTCAACATCAGAGAGTGGAGTCCATTCCCCTGAAAGTTTTGGGGTGGATTGGAAATAGAAAAAGCAACGGAAACCCCGCAACATGCGGAGGTTCTCAACTGAGGGTACCAGTGTTGGAGAAAAGGCAACCAACCACACCGACCACCAACAGATTCACCAACCAACAAGTACGCCAAATGGTAGGTTAGAACCATATATTTGTGCAGCAATGCAGGGGGAGGCAAGAATCAGGGTATCATTCGTGGGTCAGAACGTCTGAGAAGGTGTCTGTTTGTGTAAGAACTGGTGTCAGCCTGTTTCTGATCATTCAACCGCAGTCTGTTTGCCAAAGGGACACCCGACAGTTGAACACCAACAGACCTGGACAAAACGATCAACTTTGTAGAAGGCTTCATATTTTTGAACCCATTGGCTAATTGACCCAGAACAGTGTGAATGAGGAAACACGGACCACGAATCCAGACTGCTGTCAGCACATGGCAGAAGAGCCGAAAAGAGCGAAAAGAGCCAGGACACAGGGCGCGCATCAGACGTTTCAGAGCCTGTTTCTGTTTTGACGGTCCTCCAGAAGATGTGTTTGCAAGAGCTCTATACGAGGTCCGCGGTAGGTGTTGGGCAATATAACTTGCTCGAAGTTCCTGCGCAGCTTTCTTTTGAGACCTTTATTAACGCAAGGTTGCAGAGATCTTTGCAGGAACTCTGTACAAGATCCCTTTGTGGCATTTTGGCATTGGCCCTTCACAAGAGCAGCTCCATAGGCGTCCTGTGGAGGCCCTTTGCAAGATGACTTTTGAGAGGACTGTTGTAGAAGAATCTGTGGAAGCAGGTGTCCTGGGATGAACTCTATAAAAGCTACAAAAGGCCCTGGCACGCTCAAAGTGCAGAGGCTTGGGCGCGCGAGTTCCAGCGACATTGGTCGAAGACAGCCAAAGTCTGCAGAGGCTTTGATGTCCAAAATTGGCACTGCCCCACAACAAGCACGCTTAATTTATCCTGCCATGTTCAGAATTCGCACCGCGCCCACAGCGAGAGCGATTTGAACAGCCAAAGTGCGCAGAGGGTTAACATTTGTATTCAACACTTGCATTGCGCCACAGGGGGCACTCCGCGAGACCTAGCCCTGCCAGTGGTGCACCAATGCGTTCTTTGCGGAATTCACACGGCGCCACAGCAAGAGCGCACCTTTGAAACACATCCGCGCGACTCGCCTTTCGTGCGAGCCGGCTCATGAAACACAGCCCCGGCCACAGCGCGAACCTCCAAACGAAACCTGCCTTTCATCCACCGTAAGAATCCCTGCGACATTGTTTGGGGAAAACAGAAGTGGCTCAAGTTGCAGAGCCTCAGGAGCCTCCGCACCTCGGTCCCAGCAGCGAGCTCCGTGCGGACCCTGCCGGGCAGTGGCACAAACAGCCTGGCGCCGTCCAACGTGCCGGCGCCCTACGCCAGGCCAGTCGGTGAGTGAAAAGGTTGGGGTTTCGGCTCGCAGCACCTGCGCGAAGGAAGATGTAGGATGGCTTACCCATTCCAGGGAACAAACAAGAGGAGGTCGCCTGATTTCTAGAGACATGTCACATTTTGGCCATTGTGAACACTCGCTACTACCCGACCGCTGTTTCGTGGATGAATCCGTTTGAGTTCGGGTGATGTGGCGTCAATCAGTGTCCCAGCTGGGCAGATGCAGCTCATTTCTGTTGAGGTCAAACTGATCCAACAAGCATGCTGCTTGCTCAGGTTTTTTACGAGATCCCTATTATTGCGCCACACCCAAACGGATGCTCATTCTTGTATCGAGCGTCCCTTGCCATGTCACGTGGATCGGTCAGACAATCTTCAGAGAGCAGAGTTTCGGGGATTGGAGAAGGTTTTGCCGAGGCGGGGATTCGAATCCGCCCATTGCTTTTGCCCTTCCCAAAGATCTTTTGTCAGGTCCATGCCGGGTAGTTTCTCCTCCACCCCGGGGAGATACCAGCCACGCAGACGCAAGTGGGGAAGAGCGAACCGGAGGTCTCGAAATGAAGCCGCTGGTTGTGTTTTGTTTGATTTCACGGCTCGTTGAGTTGGGTGTCTCGTTTGTTGCGTATTTGTTTTGCTTTGAAGCAACAAGTGGCCATTGGGTGGTTGTGCGCACCTGCTTCGACGTGGGGTCAGTGTCTCGCGGGCAACGCTTCTCTTGCGAGCACTTCGGGCTTGACTCTTGAGACTCGGTCCCTAGAGTTTACTTAGAGCCTTGCACATTTGCGCATCATGGTTCAAGTTCTACTTGGTGCCTTTTTCAATCGAACCAACAAAAGACCCCTCACTTTGGTACATGCAAGGCAGATTTTCCGAAGACCGGCTGCGCTCTCGAATAGATCAGTTCAGTCTATTGAGATGCTTCAGGGTGAGTTGCAGATTCACCCGTTTCGGCTGAAAACAGTCCACACCATATAGCTTCTCCCTCACTTCTTTCTTTTGTATTTCCAGTTTCTGTGAGTTGGCTAGATAGCCCTGTGTCGAAAAGGGGAGCCTTGGGGCGGGAGATCGAGCTGTCAAGGGCGCAGATGAAGCAATCAACACCTGGATAGGTGAAGCTTATTGAGGACAGTGCCAACAGATAGGTCCGGCCTTCCCTCTGATTGTGACTCAGCACCTTCATCCTTCGTTCTGGAGTCCGGCATCTCACCTCAGTGCCGGCTTCGCTTCAGCCGGCACGACCTGAGCCAATCAGAACTTGGGCAAGCGAAAGCTAGTAAAGGGGGTCACTCCAAACCATAAATGCTTTTCGCTGAGCTAAAATGGCCTCCTACGCCTGGATTTTGGGCATGCGTTGTTGCATACTTGCTTGGAGGTTCATCACACTTAAATGTCGCCCCCTTGCGACCATGCATAGCACCTAGCAGCATCCTTAGCCCAATTTTGACGGTTCTGGTACGCATGGCTTCTACTCCTTTGACGGGAATTCTTGTCGCAGGGCTACGAAAACCTATTAACCTTGGTCTGCTTGATCGAGCCAAGCCTTGATGGGTTTTGGGCGCCGCGAAATGTCGAGCTCAACTTTCCAGCGCCGTCCTTAGGCCCATGGTGGTGACATCTCCCCCGCCGCAGATGCGGGTCATCGAGCCACCGCCCGTGGGCACAATGACGGCGCCACCACCCACAGTCACTCGCTTTGAGACCAACCAGGCGGGCGGAACCCGCGGGACGTGTAGGACTTCCAAAGGAGAAACTCCATGTGTTGGAGGTTTGAAGGGAGAAGGCAAGCAATATCGTAGGAAACCCCAATGTGAGAGTGTTTGCAAAGAAGCAAGTGGCCAGTGTGAAATTCACGATTGCCAGCAATGTAGAATTCTCTTCTTCAGCAGGCGGTATGTTCATGTTTCCTGCCAGGCATCCTGGATTGTGCGCTGTTGACTTTGGGCGGACATTACCAGGAACCAACCATTCTCCGGGGTCCCAGGAGGAGTCTCCATCAACCCCTTGAAAGGGGTAAACACGCAAGTACATTTGTGTTCAGCACACAGCGTGCAACAGTCACTTGGCCCGAGCATTCCTCCGTACACATCCCGTCTGCCAGGCATGGCGGTTGAGTTTGCAATGATCAGTCTATCAAGCCTGTACTGAGGATGGTTCTCGACCCCTGAATTGAGAGTAAACAAACACAACGATTATAAGGGTTCCTAGCAAGGCTACCATGACAAGTGACCTTCAAAAGGAGTTTTGTTCATTGTACGCCGAGATGGAAACTTGATCTTGGATGTGGTGTTTTCTTGACGGTGAGGATCTTCTGTGAAGGAGACGCGTGATCCGGTTGTAGCAGATGCTGGGCAGTTCTGGAAGATGGCTGAGAATTGGTGAACTGTTCCGGGCAATGTGTGCGACATCCCGGGAGTGGACCATATTTGTAAAGTTTTTTTCCTTTTCTGGGAATCAGTTATTTGAGATGCATCAACAGGGAACCTGCTTGGAAGGCCTTCAAAAGGAAACCAGCACAAAACCGACCATGTGGCAGGATCCTGAGCCCTGGACATTGTTTTGCAACCCAGCTTGGCACAGTTCGCCCATGTGCACTCAATGCACGTGATCGTGATCTTGCGCGAGTCACCCTTGTTGCCTTGAGTTGGCGCGTCGTGGCTCGTTGTGGCGTTGCCTTGAATCGGAGTGTCACTGTTGCTTTCCGGATTGCTGAGTACAGTTAGCCAATATTTGTTCAATTTCTCCGAAAGGAAACGGCTCTGGATACGTTGTTGCAGACCCCTTGTTGGGTGTGGGTCAAAATTAAACCACTAGGGGACCGCAGGTTTTAGTCCATGGTTCTATTTACCAGGGTTCTATGTTGGGCACCTATTTTTGACCCTCTGCCTTGTCCAGCACCCAGCTCTGTGTCTTGATAGCACTTGCCAAAGCAGACGATTTCTCAGTTCAGATCTTCAGAGGCATTGCTCCAAGAAGCTCAACAAACAAGTAACCCCCACGTGGTGATGAGAAGCTTTCACGGCCGTGCTTTTGTTGCCTTCATTTGTGTGTAGATGCCTGCAAACCAGAGACCTTCTCCAAAGAGTACCCCCTACTGTGGATGGACGAAATCCGTTCGCACCACTTCGAAAGCATCGGGAAACCGTTGTGTCTTGGTATTTGCGGGGGAATCATTCCAGGGTTTCCGAACGGTGGTGGATTTCGTCCATCCACCGCACGCGTGAAAAACTAGCTTTCTCGGGTTGAGTGGAATGTCCCAAGTGTCAGCCGTTGATTTTCGCGGACCGAGATGGGATCGCCGTTTCAGGGCTGGCCGGGAGTGAATACCGCCTCCTGGAGGACTCCCAGTTTCTCGGACGGGGTCACCCGAAGCAAAGCCAACATTCAACAAAAGAGACTGGGTGAATTATAACGACCTCACACGACCTCACCCCAAATGGTGGTTTATGTGGGGAATCGCCCCCCAACCACCTTATTTCAGGCTGGTGAAATATTATAGAGCACCCAGAAGACTGCCCTGGCCAGCAGTGGCTTTTGGTGTCTCCAGTCTAGTCCCAATGATCGGCCTTTCTTTTCCAGGTTTTTTGGACGAGTGAGGATTGAGAATCGTGCGAACATTTCGGGGGTGGTGAATCATATACTGATGATTGGGGGCACAGCGAGGCTTCGGGAAACACGTACCCTCCCAACAAGCATTGACTTCCACAGGCTCCGTTTCCAATAAGGCAACAGTTGTCCCAAAACGGCCCGTGTGCTATAGTATTTGCTGGCGAGCGAGTGCTTCACAAACTACAACGCCTCGCTGAAACAGGTTGATGACTTTTGGCGGGGATTGGGGCCTCAGGGTTTCTAAGGATTCAGACAAAACATGCTTCTCATTTCCAAATTCAATGATGTGATTTGGACAAGGTCACAAAATTGATGGAATGGAATCACACCTCGATTCGATTCCGATGTCTTCCAGCACTGGTCTATTTCAAGTCATAGCTTCCGGGTGAGTTGGCCAAGTGAAGGATCACTCTTTGGATGTGAACGATGCGTAGGGTCGCCCGTGTGCGTCCTGCACATAGGGAATGGATGATCGCTTGCCCACGACTCACAGCCAATTTCTGCCAAGCACATATGGGCAACAAACCCCATGATTAGTCAATTTGAGGGGGTTCCGAGTGTCCCTTTCCGGGGCCCTGCTGTATAGTAAGCATGCTTCAAGCTCAGCCAGTAGCCGGAGATGGCACCCCCCACCAGCTGAAGGGACGCTAAGAATCCATGCATATCGTTTGTCATCGCCACAATCAAAACTTAGTGTCAGGTAGGTGAATGTCCCAATCATTTGACTTGCTCCCTGTTCTTTTGAATTCCACTCTCCCCCCGCCCCCGTTTTGTCGTCTTGGTGAAAGAATAAGAAGCCAGAGCCAGAATGCGCAAAAGATCATAGACATCGGCGCAAGCAGGACACTTCCAGGGTTCACGAGTCAAACCTCGGTTCAGCTAAGGCCTAAGGCCCTTTTTGCCCGCAGGACCCTTGCCGAGCCGGTGGCTGGCGGCATGGCACAGCCCTACCAGCCCTTTTCGCAGTACATGGCGTACCCGCCAAACACCGTGCGCCGCGGCGGCCGAAGGAAGGAACCCGTTTTGTGCCGTGTTCCGGGAAGAGAGCTGGCCAGTGGAGTTTCCGCTGAGTGTTTCACATGACGGTGATGTAGCAACGCCAGTGACGGGGTAAGACTCTGAAGTTTGGATAACAACGCCATATCTCGTTTCATACGCCTCTTGAGCGGGACACAACTCAGAAAGTTTGCAGCAAAACGACTCTTAGGATTCAACCCTTGGCCCAGATTTTCGAGCCGAAAGACTTCTCCTGGCCACTGGGTTTGTGTGCAGTCAAGCAGATTCATATCTCAACATGGGGAACCAATCTTTGATGGAGCCGTCGAGCCAAGCACCTGGTCAATGAGGTCTGATAGAAACCATCAGCATTACCGGCATGGTCCCAACCCCAACCTTGGGCGGCCTTTACGCAAAGTCTTTTGTGTGAGTCCGGCGCAGCTTGGGAGTGTGGGCTTGTCATTAAAGCCTCCGGAACTTGACCCCGTTGAGCCCGGAATCTCATGTGAATTCAGATGTAATCCCCGGTCGGCGGACAGTTGAAAAGCTGACGTGGCATCGCCCATCCCCTTTTGGGCCATAGAGCAGTTGACGGAAAATAATGACAAAAGGGTTTTCTCAACAGCTCCGGGGCACATAGTTAAACCAAATGACCGACAGTGCGACCAATACACGAAAGGAACCCCGAAGATATTCCAGCTATTTTACGTCGTTCCGCCGCAACGACGCCGCACTGAGGTACCATTGCCCCTCTACCATGGCTGCCTGGATTTCGAACCGAGGAATTGCGTCCGTCTCGAAATGGGGAATCGACAGCAAACGAAAAAGCCACCTGAATGGGGGGGAGCCCTAATTTTGAGAAAACCCCAGACAAGAAACAGCGGGGCACCAGTGGGAGGAAGCGAGTCTCTTTCACCCAAGCCAACTTTTGGCTTAGTTCCTCCCAGCTTTGGCTGTGATTCAATCAGTTGCCAGGGAAGCGAGGCCTCGCAAGTTTAGAGCAAGACGTTCAGGCAACGCTTGCTTGAGCACTTGCAAACAATGGCACCTCGGGCCCGGGCCAGGCTGCTGTTGCTGCTATTTGCTCTTGGAGTTGCGCTGGGTGCTGTTTCAAGGTGCTGTTTTGGTGTGCCCCCCGTGCAGTGGCACTTTCTGGCGGTGCTTGTTCGGTGGTGCAGCCAGGATCAGGGTGCTGCGGGTGCTGGTCGCTGCAGAAGGATTGCGCCATTCCAGTCAAGTCGTTATGCTATTTGGGCTCTATGCTGGTTTTCTTTTTGGGTATGGTGGCTCCATTTAAAGACAAGCCCGCGTTTGTCAGCGGCTTGTTTCTATGAGTTGTTAGGCGCGCTTCTCAACGGTCGGCATTTGGCAGCCCTTTGTGGAACACATGTTGACTGCCCCCAACTGAATCCTATGTATATATATATATAATATGTGTATATATATATATATCACTACTTTGGGCCAAAAAGGTGACTCTGTGGTTTCCACATCTTTTGGTCAAGGTATGGTGTGGTCTGCCTGTGAGCAGCTTAACTTATCTTCCTTGGCATTTGTTCGCCTAAACGACACCTGAGTACTCCTTTTCGAACTGCCTTACTGGACAAAACGCTCGGTACCGCGCTAAGATTCTTGGAGGTAACCCAAGCTTGCTCCGCAAACGGACTCAAATGTTCGGCCGACTGCTACTCGCTCGCATGAGACAATGCCGCTCTCTAGGCAGGGGATCATGTTGAACGGAAGGAAGGTTGCCGTACGGCCTGCGTGAGCTTCCAGGTTCACAGGACGCTGTATACATAAAGCTTGTATTGCGAACTCGGTGGATTTGGCTGCCTGCATCTAGGCTCCGGACGTTTCATTGAGAAGTGTCTGCAACATGTCTATCCAATTGGTGATACGGACCACAACCTCGGCAGGTCGCCACAGGCTGCCCAATTCACCCACTTCCAGACTCCAGACGAGGGAGTGATTCAACCGAACCCAGTGTGCCCATGTGATTTTCCTTTGTCGAGAAAATGGATGGCACCACTTTTCCGGCGGATGTGGGCTAGGACGGCATAGTTTGCCGAGTCCAGCTTGCAAGCTTTCGTGTCTCTGTGAGTTTGTGTGTATTTGTCGTGATTGTGTCCAGTGTTGATGTAAGCCCGGCTCTTGTCATCCGGGCACCGCGGGGGTAGGGGAGCTGCTTTGGACTGAAGCCAGGACATTTTCAGACATTTGAAAACTTCAGCTTGGACAAACAATCCAGTACTTTCGGTTGCAGACATGTAAAGAGTTTATCTTCTAAATTGCCAATACCTCACATGTATACATATTGTATACTCTATGTATTTCAGGGGTTACTGGAAGCACTAGGTATGCCAAAGGACCAACTCGTGGCATGAGCTGGCAATAGCACACGCTGCTTGGTGGAAGCTCGCGCCTAGGTTCCAGCGGCCCAGTGAGGAGCTGCCTAGCTTGAAGCTGCTGGGGGCTGGGGGGAGTTCGATATGTTGAAGATGAGTCTTGATGAGCTTTGTGATAGAGTGAGACTTTTGGAGGGCAGAGCAGGCAATGAACATTCAGAACTGGGCAGTCGAACAATACAATGCTGGCAGGCGATTTTGATGTGCAATTGCTTTTTGATGTGGATACTTGAGCCTACACATTTATACTGCTTGGTAGAGACGGTGATGGATCCCTAAACAGATGGGATGGTGTCCCTTGGTTGTCCAGTCTCGTAGAAAAAAACAAAACAAAAAAATGTTCCCACCCGTATGAGGTTTGTTAGGACCACCCTAGTACAGGTTTACTTGGGATGGTTTAACCCCCGTACATTTTCGGTGCATTGGAATGCCCCGCAGGGCAAGAACCAAGCATGCACACGTGACACCTTGCCCGGAAGTGTTGGCCCTGGATGAATCAATCTGGCAGATCATTCCGGGGCTATTTCCCAACACATGAAGAATCCGATGGTGTTGAAAAGGGCTTTGCTTCTTCCTCGAGTTGGTTCGGTACCTGCCTGACGTCACCGGAACAAACGACAACGTGAACCTGAGGCTCACGTTTTGAAATCCTTCTTTAAGGGAGTCTGTGTCGGAAGATAAACCCTGCCTGAATCCCCAAGCAGGAAATCCCCTGCATCAAGATCAGCTGCACAGATCCGTTGCTGATGTGCTGGCAATGAACCCAGAAATGGTTCTATTGCTGTTGGCCCCAAAGGAGGCTTCCAATCATTGCGCTGTCAGCAATTTGTCCTTAGCGGTCGAATCATGCATTCCGCTTGCAAGATGCATGGGGGGTTGTAGAACGTGGTTGCCCTTTCTGCACAATATAAATGCACCTGCTGCGCTTGTCAGCGGCTTCAGGACGACGGTAAATAGCACATCGCGTGCCGACAAACTTTGTGACGTGTTTGGTTTCGCGAGTGTTGGGTTTCCACCAGGCCTCGAAAGGCTGGGGAAGGATGCGCAACGAGGTTGTGCTGCTGATCTTGAAAGAGGATGGCTAAGGTCTTTTCAGACAGACACAGAAGAAATAATGGGGAACGCCGCATGCACAAGTGATAAGGAGCAGCTGCAGGAACCATGCGCAACAACCACTCTCATTTTCCATTCAACATGCTTCAGTTCTTGGTTCACGTTTCAGCTTGATCTCATGTTGCTCACTATTACTTTACAGTCACACGCACGCAAAAGAGACACACCACGTCGATTGTTTTCCGCTCCACCCGTTTTGGGGGTGTATTCAGCCATTCCTATTGAAGTTCCATGGTTCAGGGCAGTTCCTGAAGACGAAGGTCTTGAACCCCGGACCATTGACGATGTTTCAAAAAACCCATGGCCAATCCTCATTGATCAGCATGGGGATAGGTTCTTTTGGTCAGCGCCATCCCCAGTAATCCAAGGTCAACAGACCGGTGTTCCTTGCACTCTGAGGTTTGCCTGCCTGGCCTTGGATATTTTGCGACCCGTGAGAGGGGCGTAAGGCCACACGGAACCTAGGCA